CGGCGCGGCCGCGTTCAGCACCCCCCGCCCTGAACAGCTCCGAGGGGCGGGGCCGACGCGGCCACGCCCCCGAAACAGGCCACGCCCACTCGTCACGCCCACACCGTCGGCCACGCCCATCCATGTGGCCTCCAAAAGCCCCCACCGCTCCGGCCCTTCCCGGCCCCTAAAAGAAGGGGGTTTCTCCGCAAACGCGCTCCAAATGCACCTCGGTTCCCTTGGGAAAAGCGTCACGGGAGCTCCTGCGAGTGTGTTCGTCACCGGACGTTACGTATTTGTTGAAGAAGATGGGAGTCCACATGTTGAGGTTAGCACCCATGGGTCCTGGGGGTGGTCGCTGGAACTGCTGGTGGTTTGTCAAGTGTATCAGTTGTGTGAGCATGAGGAAACAAACAAACGAAAAGAAAAAACTCAAACTTTGGAAGGTTCCAACCCAGGTGTAGCATTTCTGCTCAGAAATTTAAAAAAAAAATTAAAAAAATCTATCTATATAAAAAGCAAATAGTCAAAAATGTAACGAGCAAAGCTGTGGCTTCTTTAGTTTTAGCAAAATCTCCCAGGTGGGGATGGATCTTAAACACCCCAGGTGATGGCGAAGAACTGATCGCGCGAGTTTTTGAAGTGAAGGGTAAATGATTTTTTAGGAAATGCTCCCCATTAAAAAAAAACCAAAACCAACAAACATCAGCTTTACATCTGTCACAGCTTTTGTTTTAATTTTGTTATGAAATTAAGGCTGATTCTGTGACACAAGTTAGTAAAGGTAATACCTTCCCTGAAAATCAGCAAGTCCCAAAACCAGCAAGTCCCAAAATATCTGCCTCGTTATTTAATTGTCTGATGGATGAAACCTGGAAGCCCCGGGATGGCACCCCAAGGGCTGGCTGTGAGTATTAAGGAAGATAAATACCTCAGTAAGTGTACAGAGATGGTGGTGGGCTTTGCAGTGTGTATGGAGGGGTGGTGTTTGCATTTTTTCTTTATTAATGAGAAGTCAGGCGGTAGCTCCATGTTCCCACACTGGTTTGTTTCACTCTTGCAATCGTATTTAAGTGTAGGCTCATACATTTCTTGAGTTTTGGGAAAAGTCGCAATAGCTGCATCAAAAAATGATCATTATGGTAGGATATTTTCAATATCCTTCATATTTTTGGGGGTTGTTTTAGGCCATGCTCCCGGCATAACTCCCAACGTAACCTCCAAAATAAGTCTACTTGAACATTCTGCCATCACGGGCCCTAAGGTGTTGCCAAGGAAATTTCCACGCAACTTACAGTTTGGATTATGATTTTTCCTTCTCTCCCCCCCAAATCACAGGACTGTAGTTCAGCCATTATTTGAAGCAGTTGGCCCACCAGCAGTGCAGCTTCTGAAGATTGCTTTTCTCTGGCTGTGTGCTCTGTGGGTTCTCCAAATTTCTAGAAATGATGGTTTTGAGACTTCCGGGGGTTGTTTTAGGCCATGCTCCTGGCATAACTCCCAACGTAACCTCCAAAACAAGTCTACTTGAACATCCTGCCATCATGGGCCCTTAGGTGTTGCCAAGGAAATTTCCACAAAGCTTACAGTTGGGATTATGATTTTTTCTCCTCCTCATCCTCCTCCCTCCTCCCCCCAAATCACAGGACTGTAGTTCAGCGGTTCTTTGAAGCAGTTGGCCCATCAGCAGTGCAGCTTCTGAAGATTGCTTTTCTCTGGCTGTGTGCTCTGTGGGTTCTCCAAATTTCTAGAAATGATGGTTTTGAGACTTTCCCTTTCCTGTCCAATTTAGTGGAAACTGGTCAATGCAGTCAAAGGTTATACGAGGATGGAACAGCTAGGCAGTAAGATGATATAATCCTCATTTCCTTTGAAAATTGGGCTAAACTGCCATGATTCTGTTTGGAGAGGTGATCCATCTATTCAGAGATACTGACTGTGAAGCACTGGTTTGCCAGCAGGGACACAGGTTTGCTACTGCTCTGCTGTTTTACCCTCTGATACTACTTGTGCCACCAGAATGTAAAAAATACCCATTTCCTGTCCAATTTAGTTGAAACTGGTCAATACAGTCAAAGGTTATAGGAGGATGGAACAGCTAGACAGTAAGATGATATAATCCTCATTTCCTTTGAAAATTGGGCTAAACTGCCATGATTCTGTTTGGAGAGGTGATCCATCTATTCAGAGATACTGACTGTGAAGCACTGGTTTGCCAGCAGGGACACAGGTTTGCTACTGCTCTGCTGTTTTACCCTCTGATACTACTTGTGCCACCAGAATGTAAAAAATAAACAAAGCTCCTACCACCATTATGGTGGCTGAAGTTGGCAGAGGGAGCAAATCCACCGTGTTGTGGCTTCCTCACAGTCACCAAGGATTTGGGGCTCTTCTGCTTGGGCAGAAGGTCCCGGTTCAGGATCACCACACAGCTGGTGTTGATTAGTGCCAGCTGGCCCATTTAGAGGGCACGGAGGGTTGTTCCTGCCACCACCCTTGGGCTATCCAGTTCTACCAGAAAGGTGGCCCCTGGTTGTCAGCGGTGATGACAGCACCTCTGGAGAGGCAGGTTGCTCTTGCAGAAACCACCGAGAGACACGTTGACTTTCCGTTGCTTTATAACGAGGAATTCGTGGTTGGAAGGTGACCCCAAGGAGAGCAGACTCCTCTGCAAGCAGGTGGGTGTTTAAGAGGTAAAGAAGGGTATGACTAAAGAGAGGTGACTGTGCTGCTGGTTTGCCTCAGTGGCAGATGTCAAGGTGTTTTGCTGAGTAAGGATGGTGATGGTTGGTAGATGTCAGTTAGTGTTTTGCTGAGTTGGGATAAGGATGGTGATGGTTGGTAGATGTCAGTTGGGATAAGGATGGCATGTTTACATTTGTGCTTCGAAGAGTCGAGGTCACCCTCAGATTAGCTTCGTGACCAAGAACGTGTCAGTGCAGCAGATCTTTTTTTTTTTTTTTTTGCACTGATGCTGGAGCAGAACTTTTGTTGCCTGGTTTTCTTGGCTCGGAATGCTTATCTCGTGTTACTTGGGCCTTTTGAGAAAGATGACGTTCGTAGTCATGCTGAGCTTTCTTCAGAAGGTGGCAGCAGCTTATTACTTATATAAAATAGATTGCTGCTAGATGTTACTGTCTGCCTAAGTGTAAATAAATACTTACACTTAATTGCTTTACTGGTTTGTTGTAGTGAGTGCCTTAGATTGTCTTTAGGTTGTGGAGTTGCACATCTAAATGAATATTTAGCTTATAGTAGTACTTAAAGTATTTTATTCCTGCCTATCATTGAAGTGAAATTTTGGGATGGTTTGATTTTTCAAGCATAGGGCATTAGAGATTCATAAAGATACTTGTCAGGTTTTAGTTCTTTTTCCCTTTTCAAAGGAGACACGCATGTACCACAGTTGATTGTCCAAAACATGCACTTCATAAGGCATAGGACAGTTAAAGAGACTGCTGGCTTTCTTTCCCAAAAGTGGTGATTAGACAACACATATATTCTTTACATCTAAACAATACCTGGCAGAGTAATACAGGGATTCAGAATTCATGAATATTCATGTTTCCAACCATCTGTTGATTGGTTTCAATCTCTATTCATATTCAGAATCCATAAATCACTGAAACTATGGGAGTAAGATATGAGTGCATCTGCTTTTCTCTTCCTTTAGATGTTTTCTTCCAAAGTAAGAGAACAACAGGGATAAAAAATGCAGGGGACAGAAAGATAATGGAGTAGGATGGAAAGAAATGGAGAAGGTAGGAAGGAAGCAGGAAGAAAAGGCAAAGTTACAGCCTTCCTACAGGCTTCCCCATCCAAAGTGCTTTTCTGTGGACTCGTGTTCTCATTTTTGTTGGAATATGTGCTCAGAAAGAGAAATATGTCTTCCTTTTTATTTGATGTCTTCCAGATGCTCTGCAAACAGTAACCATATAATGCAAATGCTACCTGCAGAAAATGTGTCATTGGCACGATGGTGTCATTAAACGCGTTTTTTCTGCTCCAGCTTGTGAGAGCCTGGGGAGAAAACACCCAGGATAGATACAGACCGGCTCGAATGCTGGAGTGGACCCTTGATTGACAGCCGAGTTTGAGCAATTTGCCCACGAATGAATTGAAGCGATAACCTTTTCTTTTCAGCCTGGAGATTCAGGTTTCTGGCCGTGAGGGTGAGAGCCGAGGCATTCAGCAGGAATTACAGAGGGTCGGGTGGTAAATGCTGCCAGTGGGAGCAGAGGAATTACAGGGATATAACTCTGCTTTTGTGTTTTGTCATTTTTTTAGATTTCCTATCCCTCCCAAGGAAAATTGCGTAATGCTATGGTACTGGTGTTATGAAAACAGCAGGAGGAATCATTTTTCAAACTCCTAAATGAAAAATGTAATGTAATCATGAAAATGGTTCATATCATATTGATTATATGTACATCCCATGGTGATGCGAGTTAAAAAGGTACGGCTGGTTACAGCTTGAGATGGTTTTAGTCCAAGTATGGTAAACACTTTTCCTTGCCCTCTTTAAGAAGAGGAAAAATAGCTAAGCCCAATCTTGGTAGTGGGTGTGAGTGTGTATAATTTTGCTTATTTTTCTACTGCTATATTAAATATTACAGTACAAAATTTGAGAGCTCTACGAGTTGATAAAGTGGAATATTGTGAACAAACCCTTCTCCTTTCTATATGCCTGACTATAATTGTCCCTAACACAAACCCAGCATTTTACCAAAACAGGGAAGGAGATATAGAATGAAAAAAAGGCGTGAGGTTGTTATTTAGAGAGCCTTTCCCGCTGGCAGCAGTGGTAAGGATCAGGCTAAGAATGAGGGATCAGGTGATTACTTTAACGTTGCGTTCATACGTGCTGTGATTGCTTCTCTGCCCAGATACTGCATAATTGACTGCACGGCATTAGCCAGCCACCACGTGGTAGGAGGACAGATATTCTGGAGGAAAAAAGCACCGGGGCTCTGGTACTGAGACAAATCTTTTTTTAAGAAAACCCTCTTTGTAAAGAACAAGGATGGGTAGGGGTGAGAAGGGAGGGGCTATTTCCACAAAGTGTATTTATTAATTGTGTTTATTAGCTGGTGTAAGGTCAAATCACTGTGAGAGGAGGGGTCACATAACAATCATGCTCATTGCTGCTAAGGTATAGGCACTATGAGTGCAAACCGACTCTTTCATCAAGATCATGCATAGATGTGAGCAGGCAAAAAGAGAGGTAGGGTAAAGCTCAGCAAAGAATAATATTGCTGACAGAATAGTACCACTCTCACCACATTTCTTGGTTGGATCTTGGAAAAATGTGACGTTTCTTTTCAACTTGGAACCCACCAA